ATACTCAGCTCATATAATGGGGACAGCATAATTTTGATTAAAATTATACAAAGCCTCACAAGGACATTACAAAAAAGGAACTTACAGACTTATGTCTCTCATGAACAAAATATTGGTAAATCAAATTCAGGGATATGCAAAAATGGTAGTACATTATATTCAAGTGGACATTATTCCAGGAATGAAGGTATCAACACAATATACCACATTAACAGTAAAAAAAAAAAAAAAAAAATGGCAGGGGGAGTGATGGAAAAAATTTTATAAAGTCCCGCTGGTGTGCTCAGTGGTTAGTATCAACCCATGTACCAGGAGGTCACCAGTTCAATTCCTGGTCAGAGCACATACATGGGTTGCAGGCTCAATACCCAGTGGGGGGCATACAAGAGGCCACGGATTGAAGTTTCTCATTGATGTTTCTCTCTCCCTTTCTCAAATCAGTAACATATTTTTTAAAAACCAAAAACTAATACCTATTCATGATTTTTAAAAATCAAAAACTAGGTTACAAGGGAACTTTGTTTATTTGAATCAAAGTTATGCACAAAAAATGTAGAGAAAACATACTTAATAGCGATGGGTTTTTATTTTTAGTTATATAATTTTATTTTATGCATTTAAATTTTTTTAAATCTTTATTGTTGAAAGTATTACATATGTCCCCTGTTCCCCTCCATTGACCTCCAGTAGTGATGTCACCACTTTTATTTGCCATTGTATTAGAGGTCCTAGCCAATGCAGAAAAAAAAGAGTAATAAAAGAAATGAAATAAAAAATAAAGAAGTAAAATACCTAAAGATTATAAAGGCAGAGTTTAAACTGTCATTATTTGTAGACAGGAAGATTGTATATATTAAAAAATCCAAAATATTCTACAGATAAACTATTTAAAAATAATAAGTGAACTTAGCAAGTCATTAGATACAGGACCAATATACAAAAATTGTTTTTTCTATGTAGTAGCAATAATGAATTAGAAAATGAAAAAAATTTATAATTTATAGATCAAAACTTACTAAAATCTAGGAATAAATCTAATGAAAGATATATAAGTGTTCTACCTAGAAATGTATAAAGAGAAATTAAGATATAATAAGTAGGATCATAGATTGAAAACTCAATCTTGTAAAGATGTCAGTTCTTCCCCAGTTGATCTATAACTTCCATACAATCTCAGTCAAAATCCCAATAGATTTTTTGTGGAAACTGACAAGCTCATGAAATTGGTATGGAAATGCAGAGAACCAAGAGTAGCCAAGACAATCATTAGGAACAAAGCTTGAGGACTTCTAATACCAGATCCCAAAACTTGTTACAGAGCTCCAGTACTTAAAACAGAGTGCTATTCACCTAGCACCCAGATCCTGCTTTCTAAATACTGTTCTCCAGTAAAAGGAACCAAGGTTCTTTGGAAGAAGTGGCTAATTCCACAAATGGGGCATGGAAAATACAAGATGAGCCGGAAACATCTTTCAGTGCTAATAAGCAAGGAAATTCATGGAAAAAGATGAGGGCACATTAAAAGGACACAGAAGTCAACCCGATGAAGCTCCTAAAGGCCAAACCTAAATCAATGTGAGCAATAAAATAAATAATGATCATATTGAATTCTAACCCATAGACTAAAACAAATATCCATGAGTCATAGTGATATAAACAAATGAGGGAGAAGGGACTTATGTTCCTTACAGAAGAATTCCAGTTAATAATTATGCAAGGAATTAGGAAACTACAAAGCCACCACCAGGCAAACACTACAGTAATTGTTGCAAGCAAGATGAGTGCTAAATCAGTGGGCAAAAGCTTGAGAATAAATAGGATTTTACATAGTTTCAACATCTCTCCCCCAAGATGTTGGTCAGTTTCAAAAAGGAAAATAATAACTACAGTGGAGAGACCCAGTAGATACTCCATGAACAAGTGATCATGGTTAATATGTCAAAATCTTGAAAGAAAAGGAAAACTAAGGCTCCTGCGACAGATTGGAAGAGGCTAAGGAGACATGGATTGGGTCATAGAACAGGAAAAGGGTATTAGTGAAAAAACTGGTGAAATTCAAATAAAGTCTCTTATTTTGTTGATATATCAACATTAAATCAATATATCAGTGTTAATTTACTTGCTTTGATTTTTGTACTATGGTTGTGTGAGATATGAACATTGGAAAAACTGGGACTAAGGTATATGTGAACTCTTATTTTTTGCAACTTTTCTGTAAATCTAAAATTATTTCAAAATACAAGTTTTTTTAAAAAACACACACAAAAAAACGTAGCATGGTATTGAAAACAAGGTGCATCAGTTTCCCAGGGCTGCTGTACTACAAACTGGGTGGCTTAAAACAACAGAAATTTAATCTCACATTCTGGAGGCTAGAATTTCAAAATCAAGGTGTCAGCAGGGCCATGCTCCCTCTGAAGACTCTAGGGTAGGATCCTTCCTTGCCTCTTATAGCTGCATTACTTCTGTTTCTGTCTTCACCTGGCTTTCTTCCCTGTGTCTGTATTTCCACCCTAAATCCAATATGCACCCTACATCCAATATGACCTTATTTTAATTAAATAATCTGAAAATACTATTTCCAAATAAGGTTATATCCTAAGGTTCCAGTTAGATATAATTTTTAAGGGGACACTGTTCAACCTAGTATACAAATATAGGCAAATAGACCAATGGAACAGAATAAAAACTCTTGAAACAGACTCACATATTGTGTCTGACTTACAACAGATGTGCCACTGCAATGCAGTGGGGGAGGAGGATCTTTGTAATAAATGAGTCAAACAAAAATCTGCATGTGGATGAAAAGAATCTTGACCTCTACCTCAAATCATACATAAAGACTAATTTCAGATATTATATATAT